ACTGGTTTGTGTGAGAGTGCTTTTGTTGACAGTCAGTGTTCAGTTTCGTCCCAAAGGTGATCAATAGAGCTCAGGTGTGGGCTTTGTGCATGCGGACAAGCTCTTCTTGACTTGAGGGATATTGCTTTGTGAACATTGACAGTCGGAAGCACTGAATGACACTGTATTTACTGGCATTGAGATTTGTTTTCACTTGAATTAAAAGCCTAACCAGTACCGTGTTAATTAGAAGGGGGTGTCCACATAATCTTGGTAGGTCAAACGCAAAATAAAGACATGGTATTACACACCTTCTGTGATAATTGGTCTCAGAATTGTAATTTCTCGTGATCTGATCATGTTTTGTCAAGGATTTACGCTGTCATGCAGAAGCACAGCTCATGCTAGAATCGTGGGTGGATTCTTCGATCTGTTGTTGAGAGGATTAAGCGTTCAGAAACATGATTAAAGAGCAGATGATTTTGCTCAAAGATCTTCAGATGAAGTTTACTCAAGATTTTCCAGTTTTCTGGGCCCCCCAAATGGCTATGATAAATAAATTGAAAAATATTAAATTAAATAATAAATTAAATATTCAGTCTGATTAAAGAAATGAAATTAAAGAAAAATATTAATTAATGAAGATTTTTATAGTTTTACTGTATGAAATAAATGCAACCTTGGTGAGCATAAGAGATGTCTCTCAACAACATTAAAAATGTTCAATGTTTTTGAAAATCTGTTAAGATCACAAAGGCTGCATTTATGTGAAAGTTATATTGTGAGTTATCATTAAACCAGTTTTTGCTGCTTGATATTTTTTTGCGGATATTGTTTTACACTACCATTCAAAAGTGGGGTAAGATAAAACATTTTTTAAAAAAACGTAATTCTTAAAAAAAAAACTTTTAAATACTTATAAAAAGATTATTCTAGAATAAACTATAGAATGTTTTAAAATATGCTATTCTGTTGATCTTGCTATTCATTAAAGAATCCTAAAACAAATGTAGCATTGTTTCTACAAAAATATTAATCAGTAAAAACTGTTTAATAAGAAATGTTTCTTGATACCAAATCAGCATATTAAAACTAATTTTAAAGGACACTGAAGACTGGAGTAATTATGATGCTGAAAATTCAGCTTTACCATCACAACAAATTACATTTTAAAATATATTAAAATAGAAAACTTTCTTAAATGCTAATAATATTTCACCATACTGTTTTTGAGCAAATAAATGCATTCTTGGTCAATGTAAGAAGAGAGACTTCTTTCAGAAAAATCGTAATTATTCAGCTTCTGATCGGTATTGTGCATATGCATCACAAACTACCATTTTATATTGATAAAACTTGAAGTTTCCTCAAACTGAAATGTTTGAAATTTAATCCAAGCAGTGTAATGAAGAATAAGAGAAAACGAGAAAAAAGTGATCAGAGATAGGACTATCTATGTAAACTGTTGGAATGATTCCCAGTCCTGCGGTATGTATAACGTTTATTCTTTTGTCTGAAGGATTTACAGAACCAAATTGATTGATTTCCTTTCTGAACTGCGTGATCTTTGAGGACTATCAGAAAATTCTGTGGCTGCATAGATCATGTTGGTTTGTCTGTGAGGCAGAGCAGCTGTGTTGATAGTGGATCTGTCATGGGTGTGGATTCAGAGAGCGTGAATGAGCTTGACAAAACTAGTTTTCACCTGTGACTCATTTATTCATCTGATGAGCTTTTTAGCCAGGGGCCTGAAAATAGTGAATTCGTGCTCTTAATTATGTTTATTAAGTCATTTAAATGAATAACTTTTCATAAAGATGAGGCCTTTTCAAAATGTTAACCTCAAGACCTTATTCTTTTTGACAACCATTCAGCTCAATGTGAAAGAAAGAAAAAAAAGAAAAAAAACGGAAGGGACTTTGACATCTGGCCTCTAATATCTGTCTACACCCAGATTATATAACAAATTAAAGGAGGCCAGCCAGGGCTAAACATGCCCAAAATATGCTTTTAAAGAAACTCAATTATGTTTATAAAGGCATAAATCAGAAAAAAGTTCAATAATAGTCACAAGCACACGACATGCAGAAAAATAAAAAGTAGGGTAATTGTAACATTTTTTTTTACATTTTCCTACTTGAAATACACTAGTCATCTTTTGATACAAGAATATAGGTGCACTAATTAATAGTACAACTGATATATTTTCACTAATAAGGACAAGACTGTAATATTAAATCAAATCCAAGAAGTCAGAGTGTTACAACTGCTCCCTTGGTGTTTGGGGGCAATCGTACCACTGATAAATAAGTCATATTAACCCACTGTATCTAAAATAAAAGCCTACCTTACTGCTGTAGTATCTAATAATGTTACTTTTTTGTGGTTCATATTCTTTTAGATGTCAGGCATCATATGCATTTGAAAAGCAAAAGTCTATTTTAGTCTATTTTTGCAGAAGACCAGACAACTATTCTAGTGGTAACTAGATTTTAATTATTTAAATATATATTTTACTCAACTACATTAATCAGCTCATGAGTCAAGAACAGTCTTTAACCAAACTTTAATGAAATGTTACAATTGCCATGATAAAAATCTCATATGCTAGCTAGCCAAAGGTTGTTCGTGTTCCTTTTTTATCAATAACCTAGAGAGCGCACGATTTACTTAAGAAAAGGGAACGAATTAGTAAATAGATAGACTGGGGGCAAGAGGGGGCAATTGTAACGCACTCAATTCCTCCAATCAGAAGCAAGCTAGAGTGATGACATTTAATATGCCCGTTTTAAAACTGCCCCCAGTCTCCCGAACTTTTTCCCCTCTGCGTATCATGTGCAGGGCTCCGGACACAAGGAATCTTCATTATCAAGGAGCCTTAAAATCTTTATGAAGTCTATAAACTGCTTGATTAGAATATCACCCACGATTCTGTTCATCATTGTGCATAAAGGTTTTGATTCTCGTCTCATTTTTCAAAACCAGTTAACAATAAAGTGCACAAGATATACAAAGTGTGTTTTTATTTGATTTTTCTATCTTTGCAAGAATGTAACAGGCATATTCTTTTTTTCCCCCCAACTTCTCTAAGTATACTATCTTAACACCAGCTTTAAAAAATGATTTAACCATTAACCAAACACTTTATCATTGTGTTATCCTTTGAGCTTTGGATTTGTGTTGTAATTTAATAAAAAAAAATTCTACAAATATTTAGCAGAAGCATGCATTAGTCAAGCTCAGGTACTTAAGTGGTTCGTATTGCTCAGTATGCGATTGCTCAATATGCGATTAACAGTAAGCTTACATTTGAAAGTCATTTTAATGTTGATATATTTATCCATCTTTTGAGATTCTGATGAGTGTTACAACTGCTCCCTTGGTGTTTGGGGGCAATCGTACCACTGATAAATAAGTCATATTAACCCACTGTATCTAAAATAAAAGCCTACCTTACTGCTGTAGTATCTAATAATGTTACTTTTTTGTGGTTCATATTCTTTTAGATGTCAGGCATCATATGCATTTGAAAAGCAAAAGTCTATTTTAGTCTATTTTTGCAGAAGACCAGACATATTATTTGTTAGAACATAAGCATTGTAGTCTACTCTACCAGGAAACAGTCCTCTGTAAAATGCGTTGCTCACATCTGAATATTTGGGTTGAACTGTTCTGGAACAGTGTTGTAAATACAACTTAACCACTGATTTCTAGTCGTGTCCTCTTTTGGAAGGCCAAACAAAGTAGTTTCGCTTTCATAACGAAGCACACAGCGTCTCCACGACATGGTGGCGGCGGCAACAATACTACAGCAGAATCAAAGTTACACATTCTTTCTTTGCGTGAACATTTGGGCGGTGTTATGCAAATCTTCCCACATAGTGACATAGACATGTGGGGGGGGTGTTTAAACTAGGCGTTTTAGGAGGGCGTGGACGAGTCATAACTTTTATAAAGAATATCTCTTTGGGTTTGAGACTTTAGTCTTTGCAACTTTAGGGATCTTATCTATTCACGAACAGCTTGTAACACTCCAAAGAGAAAGGAAAACTTGAAATCGTATCATCTGACCCCTTTAAGACTATAGCCGAAATTTTAATTGACGTACTGCGACACCTAGTGGCTTGTATCCAAAACACACCAAAATTAACACCACAGTTCTAATAATGACAGGTGACTGGATGACAAAATAAGAACTATAAGATTATACTATCAATTATAAACTCATTTTATTCTTAGTGCAAGAAAAATACCAATTTCAAAAATACCAGTTTATTGCCACAGGATTAAGACTGATACTGTATTTAATATAACTTTTTTTCCCCGAAGTCTGATTTCTAAATTGCATAATTTGGCTTTGTTTTCCTGTTGACGTGCTTTCTACAGCTCTCATACATTATATGTATGCATATTTGCTTTGCTTTGACCGCTCTCTGTGAGATATATCCAACTGCAGACCCGCAGCACCAGCAGTTTTCTCTGAAAGGTACTGTGGACATTTCCTCCAGCACACCATTACATTTGCACCCCCTTCTGACCAATTTGAAATGAACCAAGACACATGTATATTACATATACAAATACTGTACCTGAAAAATAAAGCCCTGTTTGTTTTATTTGTATATTATGTGTATTTGTAATGTATATCTTTGTTCTTATTTTCTAATAACAGGATAAAATAATGACAAAGATTTTTTATCTTTTCTCACTTTGGCCTAAATGTCTGCCATTCTTTTTTTATTTTATATTTTGTTAAGGTGTAAGAGGTGTTATGTTTCTGCACTCTTCCATTTTTAGCAAATTAAGAAAACTTTGTCTAAAAACAATTTTTGTGATGGTTTGTATTTTTTGTGCTCTGTATGGAACATCAGTGCCTGTTTAAGTGATGGACTCCATTACTTGTGTTTGTTTTCAGACGTTTTATACTTGTGCTATGACTTTTTGGCCTGTGCTACAAAACTTTCAACTTCTGTAGCACCAGTGCTATGTGAAAAAAAAGTTAACGTACAGCCCTGTATAAGGATTCAGAGAGTTGACACATTACCTGAGCTGCAGCAGTGCAACAAGTGTTACAGCAATTACCAGCAATTTTCTGCTTGACCAGCATGTTTAAGCCAGCCAAACTGGTCAAATTAATGTCATCTTCAAATCCACTTCAACATGCAGTTGTCTGTGGAGGTATGCATATCTTGAGCTGTTTGTTTAATGTACTCACAATTTATTATTGCATAATAGTTTACCTGTGTACTTATTTATTTATTTTAGGCTATACTATACATTTTTGCAACCAGTTATTGGTGTGATTATTTATTTGTTAAATAAGGAACAAGGAAGGGTTTTTTTGTGCCATTTACAGGGAGAATATTCTTATCTTTTGTTGTTTTCCAGTACATCTTGTCTTGGGAGCACCCTTTGATTTTACATCTGTAAGTAGTTATCAGTTAAAATCATTGACCTTTATGATGTTGTAGCAGAGATTTCTCTATGTTTGTGTCTTCCAGTGTGACACTCCAATCATACGGAGATGGTGGACTCCAGATGGTTTTCTCTGAAAGGTACTGGACATTTCCTCCAGCACACCATTACATTTGCACCCCCTTCTGACCAATTTGAAATTAACCAAGATACATGTATAGTACAGTGTAGAAACCCTACAAGAGGCCCTTCCAAGTGGATAACAGGCTACGCTTGTGAGGTATGTCTCAAATCTATCTATCTATCTATATACACACATTAATAAGAAATATTAAAGTTAAATTTTCCTTTAATATTCTGTAATGAAGGAGATCCCAGTAATCTCACAGAAGCTGTGAAATGGCTCCATTAAACAGACATCTGCTCAGGGGGGCAGTGGAAGAGCCTCTTTTTCTTTATAATGGAGGAAGAGGACAAGGAAAAGGCCCTCAACAATCTCCTGGAACAGAAGTTTCCAGAGTGCCCTTCATATTTCATCTTGTGTTCAGGGGAGTTATTTTTATAGGATTGTCATAACAAAATGAGCCTAAGAGTGAATTGTTCATTTGATACATTTTAATTTGAATTCATGCAAGATAGTCACGACAAAATGTGCCCACGAGTGAATTGTTCATTTTGTATGTTTTCATGCAGGATTGTCATGACAAAATGGGCTTAATAGTGAATTGTTCATTTTATAAACTTCAATTTAATTATTGTGTACATTTTGATTGTTTTAAAATCTTTTTAAATTATGCTGCTGCTTGTGTGTGTGTGTGTGTGTGTGTGTGTGTTTTAGTTTTCATATAGAAAAATGTATGATGCACGTGTTCTTGACTTTGAAGTAAACGTTTATTTTGAATCTTGTGATTAAAGTATATTTCATATAAAATGCCCAGAAGTTTCAAACATTATTTTTAATATCACAAACAGGAAATTAATCGCATAATACAATGAAACGAATTATCTATATACTCTAGTTTACAAGTAAAACTGTTTTATGCTGTTGCTTTATCTTCTCAGCTAATTTCTTGGACTTTCTCCTCAACAGAAGAAGATACGACTCTACCATCCACAAGCTCCTCCACAATGACCTTCACTCTGCGCTGGAGGTGAGGGTTATGCTCTATAAGGGTTTACCAAACAGACGCATATGTATTACTGCCTGGTTTCATTCATTTCTGCACTGCATTGGCTGAGAATTTCATTTCACTTACCTTCCTCTTCCTTTATCTCCACCGTTTTGGTCACAGTTTCTGTCTCTGTCACGGAAGTTTTAGTCGTGGAAGATGAAGATGTGCTTATGAAGGTCCTACAGGACACAACGATATACTCTGGGTCTCATAGCTGATACAGCGCATAAGCTCACCAACTTAGCTTACTGAAAACAGCCAAACAAATCTATTCTACGTACGTATGAGCTTCTCCATCCAGCAGCCTCCTGTACTCGGCGATCTCGATCTCCAGTCTCATCTTGATGTCCAGCAGTATCTGGTACTCTGAAGCCTGTTGTTGGATGTTGGCATTGAGTCCCTGTAGCTCCTTCTGCAGGTGGTCTATGCGCAACTGCAGCTGACTCAGCTGGGCTGCATAACGCATGCCAACATCAACCAAACTCTGCTCCAGATTTTGTTTCTGTGCAAAATGAGTATACACATAGTATGTAAATTAAATACCTAAGTGGAAATACTATATTATAACCCATGTTAAATCCACTAGCTGTTTCAATTATTTAAGGTCAACAGCATGATTGAGAGTGTGAGCATGATTGTTTTTATGGCATTCAATAAATAAGAAATTAATACTTAGTAGCTTACATTTTAGGCACAAAATTGTCAGTTATTTCTTGCAACAAATGCATGCATGCAACTATCTATGGAAGCCCACGCAACTTTTTTTGCAACTTTTTATCTTGCAATTCTGACTTTTTTTCGTGCAATTGCAAGTTTATATCTCACAATTCTGACTTCTTTTCATGGAGTTGTGAGATATAAGCTCATAATTGTGAGTTATAAAATCCAATTCTGAGGAAAAAACTTGCAATTGCTTGTTATAAGTCAGAATTGCAATATATAAAGAATTGCAAGATATAAAGTCGCAATTCTGAGAAAAAAAAGCCAGATTTGCAAATTAATATCTCGCAATTCTGACTTTATAACATGCACTTGCGAGTTTATATCTTGCCATTCTGACTTTATTTCTCAGAATTGCAATTTTATATCTCTTAAATCTAGAAGACGTAAACTCGTATTTGTGAGAAAGTCAGAACTGTGAAATAAAAAGTCACAATTCTGAACAAATTGGTTGAATGAATGATTTGCTGCTCACAGTCACTTCTTTCTGCAATGAATATTTGTTTTTGAATGAATCGTTTGAATGATTTAGTGACTCATTAAACAGTAACTTGACTCAAATCCGTGGATTCCTATTGAAATGACTGATGCAGAAGCTTTCTGTTGGTCAATGAGATGAATTCACATGACCCACTGATTGCGAAATCTGCTTCACCTCACAAGATATTCCCGAAGGTGTGAATTCCTATTAAGATGACTGGATTTTTACCAAAGCGGAATGATACAAACAGTAAAAAGTCATGGTGCCTATAATAGGGCTTTTGGAACGCTGCTCAGCCAATCACATTCGAGGACCGGAAATAACTGCTGTATAATGAAAAATAAGCAGAGATTTTCAGATATCTCCTGTGAGAATATACCATTGTGAGAACCCCCTGTAGTTCTATCTCCAGGCTCTGGAAAGTTCTCTTCAGATCAGTGAGCTCAGTCTGAGATGTCTTGATTTCAGTGTAGCTGCTGGTCACCTGAGTTTGCAGCACCTCCACCTAAAAATGTATGACACAGATAAAGGAATGAGGAATACATGATTATAAAAAAACAGTCTGGTCTGGTCAGTCAGAATATTGCCTGCTGCGAGTGTCTATACATTTCAGTTCATTACTGCAGAATGAACTGACCCAACACAATCTCATGAAAAACATGGTGGCCAATATGACTTTGAGTAGTATGAGAATGTATGATTTTTAGAAAATAAATAACCATGAAGGTCCACAGCTGAGATGTCAGCAAATAATAAGGCCCTATGATTTCCGCGAAACAGAAACCACAGAATTTGCTACATTTTGGAATGGATAAATATGTAAGTACACTTAAATCAAAACGTGATATGGACTAACATTAGTGTATGTGAATATTAAAGGGTTAGTTCACCCAAAAATAAAAATTCTGTCATTAATTACTCACTCTCATGTCGTTCCAAACCTGTAAGACCTTTGTTCATCTTCGGAACACAAATTAAGATATTCTTTTAATGGAATCTGAGTGCTCTCTGACCCTCCCATAGACAGCAAGGATATTACCACGATCAACACACAGAAACGTTGCAAGGACATCGGTAAAATAGTCCATGTGACATCAGGGGTTCAACCGTAATTTTGCGAAGCTACGAGAATACTTTTTGTGCGCAAAGAAAACAATAATAACATAAATTATTCAGCAATTCTTCTCTCCGAGTAACCGTCTTCCGCCATTTTGGAGAGTACCCCAGAATGTAATCAATGTAGTCAGCGTTGTTTACGTTCAGTAGAAAGCACGCGCATGCTGAACCCGCATTCTCGTAGCTTCGTAAAATTATGGTTGAACCCCTGATGTCACATGGACTATTTTACCAATGTCCTTGCTACGTTTCTATGCGTTGATCATGGTAATATGCTTGCTGTCTATGGAGCGTCAGAGAGCTCTCAGATTCCATCAAAAATATCTCGAATAAAAAAAATAAATTTGTGTTCCGAAGATGAATGAAGGTCTTACAGCTTTGGAATGACATGAGGGTGAGTAATTTTTGGGTGAACTATCCCTTTAAGCCACAAAATACTATTTAAATATGAATCCTGCATGTTCTGTGCGTCTCAATGTGAAGGAATGGCGCAGACGTGCGGTTTCGTACTACACACAAACTGAAGCGCATGACACTCGCGGTATTTTCAGCCTCTGCTGCCTCAATATATGAGTACAAGAACACATCATCTTTAACTGCTCTGAGAATCACTTCATGAACATTTGTTATCATATCATATAGGCTACAAAGTGAAACATAAAGGTCTTAACAGGACCCGTCAAAATAAAAGTTCCGTGGTGGTGCCCAGTAATGCACTTTTAGCCTGTCATGTCACGGTTGGAGAGACCGTAACTGAACTCCGTATCTACCCTGTCAAGGAGAATGTTGATGAATTCTCAGTTTCCTGATGCTTCTGTCAAGACTCTCTGCGTTTGTTGAAACTACTGATGCTACTGCTGTAGAACCTCCGTGTCAGTGGTATCCACTTATCAGCTCTCTACCTGTCCTGTTACAGTCAAGGAGACTGTCTGTGAACTCTCAGTCTGTCCTGTCATGGTTATAAAGGGCTGTCTTTGAACTCTCTGCCTGTCCTGTCACGGCTATGGAGACCGTCTGTGAACTCTCTGCCTGTCCTGTAACATCTATGGAGGCCGTCTGTGAACTCTCTGCCTGTCCCGTCATGGTTATGGAGGCTGTCTGTGAACTCTCTGCCTGTCCTGTCACGGTTATAGAAGCCATCTGTGAACTCTCTGCCTGTCCCGTCACGGTTATGGAAGCCATCTGTGAACTCTCTGCCTGTCCCGTCACAGTTATGGAGGCCATCTGTGAACTCTCTGCCTGTCCCGTCATGGCTATGGAGGCCGTCTGTGAACTCTCTGTTTGTCCTGTCACGGTTATGGAGGCAGTCTGTGAACTCTGCCTGTCCTGTCACGGCTATGGAGGCCATCTGTGAACTCTGCCTGTCCCGTCACGGCTATGAAGGCCGTCTATGAACTCTCAGTCTGTCCTGTCTTGGTCAAAAGGGCTGCCCCTGAACCCTCTGCTCTCCCTGTTATGGCCAAAGATGCTGCTTCTGAACTGTCTTTGTTTAAATTCTGCTGTTGAATCTGATTTTGAACTGTCTGTCTTGCCAGTTTCAGTGAATTAGTCTAATTATGAACTGGCTGCCCATCCAGTTTCCCTGTTCCTAGTTTCCCTGTTTTCCAAGTTTTTGCTTCTCTCGTGTTTGGATCCTTGGACTATTACCTTGTTTTGATTGTTTGCTGCCTGCCCTGACCTATGCCTGTTTGTGAATTACTCTTTTGCCTCTGCCTTGGATATTACCATTTGCTGTTACTGGACACTGCCTGTTTTGACCACTCTCTTTTAATAAAGCCTGCAAGTGGATCCCCACTCCGTTGTCATGCCCCCTTCGTTACAGTGACAAAATATATTACTTAATGTAATGATAGTACTACTACTACTAAATAAAAACAAAACATTATTTTAAAGTAATATTTCCCAGAAAAAATATTTACCATAAATTATTTAGATGAAAAATGTAAATAGGCCTACACAGTATTTCTGGGAAAAAAAAAAATAATAATAATAATAATTGTTTTTAAATAAATTAATTGGAGATGCTTTTGATTATTAAAATTTAATGAAACATTTAAAATGGAATCCAGAAAAGTAATGGAAAACACAGAATTTGGTAAAAACAAAAACAAACAAAAAACTGAATTTGAGAAACAAAATAAATTGCTGTCAAATTATGTAAGTTTCATTATTTCAATTAATCAGACAATTAATTTAAATTAATGCTTTTTGATTAATATTTAATTTAACCATTAAAACAGAGTATAGAAAAATAAAAATGGAGAAAAAAAGTTATTTGGAAAAAAAATAAAAATAAAATGGATTTCATAGGGCCCTACAAATGTATTTGTATGAATTCATACAAATTTGCTACCAATTCGCCAAAACATAATATAGTTATAAATTGCCATGAGAGTATATAATGACCTTGGGATGTTCTAATAGACTGAGTTAAAATACTTTGGAATTTAGAAGTTCCTGCCCCTACAGTCTAAGCCAGACAAACGTGAAATATTCGGAAGTTTTGACTGCAGAAAGACTTAATGATTACTTGACTATCGCAATCACATTCCTTTTATACAGTCCATTGTTCTGAAGCGTATCATCAGACAGTTAACATCTCAATCATTATTAGGGGATTTACTTAAAAAAAACATTGAGACAATGAATTACATTCCACTCTCTTTATATCTTAAAATCCTGTGACCTGAGAAAGGTTCACCCGCCTCTGCTAGGTCTAACATATTGTTTTCTCGAAGGTGAACTTGTCCTACTTGCTCACCTTGCTCTGGAACCATCTTTCAGCCTCTCTGCGGTTTTTCTCAATAAGCATCTCATACTGCGCTCTCATCTCCTGCAGCTCCTTGTCAAGGTCTGACTGAGCTGCACAGTCCATCTCCACATTAACAGAGCCGCTTTGCTGCTGCCGCAACAAATGCAGATCCTGTGGAAAAGAAGAGGAGAGAAAAAAGCGTTCACTCTTCCAAAAACTGTTCTTGTGAAATAATTGGTTAAATGTGTGAGGGTGCACTGAAAAGGTACCTCTTCATGGTTCTTCTTGATGTACAGCAGCTCCTCTTTCAGTCCAGTAAGCTGGTTCTCTAGATCTCCAATGAAGAGTTTGATCTCCCCCAGAACCCCCCGCAGTCGAGCCGAATCCGCTTCCACGACCGTATGCAGATTCATTTCCGCCTCATACCTGCCAAAGCCAAGGAGAAAAATTAGTATATGGTATTTCTTAAGCTATAGTCCTGAAGATGAAGCAACCAACACTAAAAATGTAAACATTCTGTGTAATTCTATTCAAAATTAAAAAGGAATCTGCAGTCTGAAAATCTGAGTGTGGGTTTACACATCACATACTTCAGCCGAAAATCTTCAGCTGCGAGCTTGGTGTTGTCCAGCTTCAGACGGAGGGCAGCGTTCTCCACAAAACGACTTTTAATCTTTTGGAAAAATAGAAATTGTGGGTTAGTCACGGGATGTTAATATATCTTTAAAATTAGCATAACAACATCATGCCTGCATTAAAAAAAGAGAAAGTATCACTCTGTTTAACACTGATGCTAAACTGCGTGTGAACAGTGGTATGTGTGATATTTGAAACACAAAGCATGGCATAATGGCACAAGGTGAGGCAGTGTTCACCACATGCCATTTCAGTCATTTCAAGGGTGTGATCCTTGGGATGATTGACAGCAGCTCTACCTGTGTGCAGAGCTCTGAAATGGTTTTGAAATGGGCACTCAAGTCTTTGCCCTGCAGCGGCCTCTTGTTGTTGTAAAACTCCTTAATTTGCAGCTCAAGTTTCTTGTTGGCCTGCTCTAAAGTGTGCACCTAAAACACAAAACACATGCGCGGATCTTCAGAAAATCATTAAAGATGAGACAATTGTTATTGTACAATCTTACGTCATAGGAAATGCAGAATATTAAGACTTGATTTAGAATTACAGAAATAAAGTTATTTGAATTTTTTGATTAGTCCTAAATATTTAGAATAAAACCATTATAAATGATTATATGAAAATATACAGTAATCCAATGTTACTAAATAGTAAAATGAACAACCTTAGTAAATTTTCCATTTTTTCCTTAAAGACAAACAAACAAAAAGCAACAACAAAAACCTTAATAAGAATTCAATAAAATTAACAAAAATAAGAATTATAATACATTGTTCCATCCATAACACAGAATGTAAACCTAGAATGCTAAACGTTTACCTAAAAATAACTTTAGGGATTCCAGTCATGGCTTTTACAAGATAATATTTATTAAGTAAAATAATTTGATAGTTTTATTTTTTAAAGAGCTAATATATAAACAATGTTATTGTTATTGACTTATACACTAATTATAAAAATATTTAAGTATATAATTTTTTAATAAATATGTGTTTTTAAAAAAAATCATTCAGCAGTGTTCATAAGAAGAAGATAAGATTTTTTAAATGTAATTTCTGTTACAATTTCAAGTTAACCAGGTGTGTTACCCGCTCCAGGTAAGATGCCAGGCGGTCATTGAGGTTCTGCATTGTCTGCTTCTCATTGCCATGCAGCGTGACCTCATAACCAGCCGTCGTCAAAGATGAAGTGGACAAAGATCTGGAGATGCGGCCACCAAAGCCCCCAGCTCTGCCATAGTTTTGTCCACCAAAAGACAAAGAGGCCCCTGAACTCCCCACTCCGTTTATGACCAGTGCACCAGAGGAAGATGACCCGAGCACACTCCGAGTGGTGAACGTCTTACTGCTGCGACGGACCGACATGGCTGAGTGAGAAGATCTGCGCAAGTTAAGATGTCCTTCAATGTCGAAACTAAACACCTAAACTAATTTGCACTAAAGATTGTCTTATATAGCCCTGTTGCATCCCACACGGTGTCAGATTTCCAGTTCCAGTGAATAGATGGAATGTGAGTGAGACCTGCCTGTACCCGGATGCAGATTAAAACAATTGACTTCAAAACCTGCTATCACACCCTTGACCTTCCAAAACCTGTAAAATGATTTCTGGCTTAGAGTGATTACTTCTTTAACAGTTTAACTGGTGTATAAACTGATTGCTTGTATTGGACACGTGCCAGTTCAAAATATTAACAGTGGCTTTTATGAAAAGTTATAACTTTTTCTTCTTTTAAATGCAGCCATTAATTATACACATCCATGTGACACATCCTAAACCCATTTTCAGATGTTTCTTTATTTTGTGGATTCACCACATCATTCATCAGGTTTTGCTTTGGCATTTAGGTAATATGACAAAAAAAATTATTTCTCAAGCTTGGAACAAAAACACACTCAAATACCATGCATCTGAACAATAACCATCACTCATGATGAATGTATTCATGTGTCAGAATGAAGTAAAAACACATGTCTTAAGTACATTTTTCCCCATCAGTTGCCTAATGTCACCATCTCTTGAAACGTACAGATGTAACCCCTGATAAAATGGATTAGCTGGTAGAGTTGACAGAGAAGGGATATAGCTGTTGACGTTTTTAAAAAATGGGTGAATGGTAAAATTCATAGGAAATCAATCATGCTTTCAAACTATTTTGACTTCTACTGTCAGAACTTGCATGCAAATTCATGAGGCTCGACCCATCTCAAAGAAAGTATTTCACTCAGTGGATTTTTACTTGTAACAGCATGTATCCCCTTGGTAGATTTCCAAAATCTGTCACTTAAATGCATCTTTCTTTTGAGTAATGAAAATAATTTGTCTAAAGTGTCATTTTAAAAATGCTTTAAATATATTTTTCAAGGTAAAATATATTTATGGTATCCTGTTTTTTTTATCTTTCCATGTTGCTTACACTCTTAAAAATAAAGGTGCTTCAAAAGGTTCTTCAAGCAATGCCATAGAAGAACCATTTTTGGTTCCACAAAGAACCATTCAGTCAAAGGTTCTTTAAAGAACCATCTCTTTCTTACCTTTTTGTAATCTGAAGAACCTTCTTTCGCCACAAAGAACCTTTTGTGAAACAGAAAGTATCTTCAGATGTTAAAGGTTATCTATGGAACCATTTAGACAAAAAGGTTCTTCTATGGCATCGTGAAGCACCTTTATTTGTAAGAGTAGACCACAAGATTTAGATTTTGCAGACACAAGCTTTTTAAATATTAATAGTGAAAGCGATTCTGTTCAAATATTTATTAGTTCACCTAAATAAAAACTCTGCCATCATTTACTCTCCAACGAGTCGGTCCAAACCTGTCTGACTGACTTTCTTCTGTGGAACATAAAAGAAAATGTTTCATACAATGAAATTCAGTGGTAACCAAAACTGGTTACTGATATTCTTCAGAACATTTTCTTTTGCCATACATGTTTGGATTGACGTAAGACTTTCAGTTTGTACTTCATTCTTGTAATAAGGCTTTTTTTATTTCAAAACAGGCATTTCATCCCGACATTTCTTACTTAATGCTCCCAAAAAAATTTCAAAATGAAATTTGATGCTCATACAGAAATGGTTTGCTTCAGTCATTAAATGAGAACTGAATATTTAATGTGTTTTCCACAAATTCATAGATTGGATGAAATGTGATTGCCATTATATCATCATTAACCAATGCTAAAGATATGGAAAGGGGGAAAATGCTCGAATCGTCATATACCTTATAGACCATGCATTCAACGGTGGACTGGCAATTGTTTGTTCACAGACTCACACGATAGCATAGGATTGAGTTCTTGAGTAAAATCTTTAGATACATAAAACTAATGGTCCTGAGAGGAAGCAACAGACTCTTCCTCGGCAATCAAATCTAAAGTACTGCGTCACAGCCTTTCTCCACCAGTTCATTTGAATCAATAATGACAGTTTTAAAAAGGTCACATTGATTTCACATCATATAATATTACAAGAGGACAATTGATTAGATGAGAACATGAATAAAAAATCCACTGCCAATTCCTTTTTACAGGTCAAATTCATTTTAATGCTGTTTCCCATTCTTTAACCGCTACAACTTTCCTGATCGTTTGGTTTTGTAATGCTAGCTTCTCATAAATAACCATTGGATTTCAGTTTACTGTCATGTCTGACGTATTCTATTTAAACATGCTCCTCCTCCTGAACAATTATCCAACTCCATTGATTCACAACTTTTTTCTTTTTTTTTACCTGAACATTTCAATATAAAAGGACTGACCTGTAATTTTGGATTACAAGGTTTTATCCTTACACTGTTGAAAACCTTTCTGGCTCAGGACTAATCAGGTAAATCTGATTTTTCTTAAATATCCATGCTTAAGAAATCATCTTGAAAAATTAAATGTTTAGGCTACACTTAAAAATAAAGGTGCTTCAAAAGGTTCTTCAAGCGATGCCATAGAAGAACCATTTTTGGTTCCACAAAGAACCATTCAGTCAAAGGTTCTTTAAAGAACCATCTCTTTCTTACCTTTTTATAATCTGAAGAACCTTCTTTCGCCACAAAGTACCTTTTGTGAAACAGAAAGGTTCTTCAGATGTTAAAGGTTCTTTATGGAACCATTTAGACCAAAAGGTTCTTCTATGGCATCGTGAAGCACCTTTATTTTTAAGAGTGTATTTGATATTGTAGGTAGTCTAAACTGGTCTTTCTGATTCTTTGGCTGGTATGAAGCTGGCAGACCATCTTGAATCAGCAATGAACAAGCCACCAAGTGGTCATTTTAGCTGGTTTCAGTTAATAACCAGCCTGAACCAGCTAGAAACCGTGTACCATTTTCCAAATCTGTACCATTTTTTTATTTTTGTATTATAATTTGGCACCGACACTTATTTAAACCACTTGTTTTTCACAGAGATGATGGCCAAGTGCGTTGTATTGACCGCTTTAGCGATGCTGGCGGTGGCATGTGTGGCCTCTCCTCTGTCCAAAGACGCACCTGCAAACACAAAGGCGACGGAACGGCTTCCGGAGAGACCACCTGAGACACCGGAGAGACCGCAGTCCCGTGTGAGTCGTTCCGTGCATTTACCGGAGGATCAGCGAGAGCTCATGTCCCGGCAGCTCTTACAGGCACTACTGTCAGGTGCGTGTCTCGGGAGGTAAAACATTAGAAGAAACGAAGCCTCACTCTTACTTGCTGTTCTTCGGTGTTTTTGGCAGAAATCATCCAGCGGGAGGACTGCGTTACAGATTATCAAGGCTGGGTAGATTTTGGGCGTCGGAGTACAAACTGAGATTTAACCGTAAAAACTCTGTACTATGATTTTTGTCATTAAATATATTTGCAACTATATGTGTTTTGTGTCATCTGGGTGCGAATAATTTGACTCGCGTGTGATAAAGATGAAGACAGTCATACCACCCTGTTGAAAAAACCAGCATATGCTGGTTAGGTATGTTTTGATGCTGGTTTAAACTGGTCCTTGCTGATTCTTTGCCGGTTTAAACTGGTCCTTTGCTGGTTTAAATTGGTCCTTTTGCTGGTTTATGCTGGTCCTTTGTTGGTTTAAGCCGGTCCTTTGCTGGTTTAAACCGGTCCTTTGCTGGTTTATGCTGGTCCTTTGCTGGTTTATGCTGGTCCTTTGCTGGTTTAAACTGGTCCTTTTGCTGGTTTATGCTGGTCCTTTGTTGGTTTAAGCCGGTCCTTTGCTGGTTTATGCTGGTCCTTTGCTGGTTTATGCTGGTCCTTTGCTGGTTTATGCTGGTCCTTTGCTGGTTTATGCTGGTCCTTTGCTGGTTTATGCTGGTCCTTTGCTGGTTTATGCTGGTCCTTTGCTGGTTTATGCTGGTCCTTTGCTGGTTTATGCTGGTCCTTTGCTGGTTTATGCTGGTCCTTTGCTGGTTTATGCTGGTCCTTTGCTGGTTTATGCTGGTCCTTTGCTGGTTTATGCTGGTCCTTTGCTGGTTTATGCTGGTCCTTTGCTGGTTTATGCTGGTCCGAAAATAGCACGTATGGTCACCCTAGCATAAACCAGCAAAAGGACCAGCATAAACCAGCAAAAGGACCAGCATAAACCAGCAAAGGACCAGCATAAACCAGCTTAAACCAGCATCCCAGCGTCAAAACCAGTGGCGGCTCGTCGGGGGAGGGGGAAATGGGAGAAGGACGATTTAATGTTAATAAAATTCACAATTCATTTCAGTTCATGTCTCAGAATGTGTATTTTTTGTTTGTAATTTCACAGTTGTAATACCATAACGTGAAAGCGCCGCTTTTCTATCGCGAATGTGCTGAATATGCTGATGTAATTACAACCACTAGGTGATAGAGAAGGGTAGGGGGAGGCCGGGGGAGAGATGAGCTCTCGTGCCTCCGTTGGTAAAAAAAATTAGCCAATCAGCATCGAGTGTTCACTTTAAGTGCTGAGGAGTAATGAGAAAAGAAACCTCGCAAGGGAGGCTAGCCTCCATTCTGATTTCAACCAATCATCACGGAGACGTAAATGACGTGATATTAGTTTGAACGTCTGTCGCTGCGCTGATAATGTACCAAGTACTTATGATGAATTGTGATTATTGAATATTTGATCAGATTTACCAAGCTGTCATTCAAACAGTATATATAAAAATTTAGGGGAAACAGCCTAAGCTGGATATAGGCTAACGTTACAGCATTCGGCTGGTTTTTTCAACAGGGCAGTAGCCTACTAGCCTTAAAAATGCTGTTTTATTGTAGGCTACATGGAGTGGGTCGCCTCTTGGGGAAAGCGATGTTGAAATTGCCAACAGAATACTACTAAGTTTCTCAGTAACCATCCCGTTATTGCACACAATTTTTGCAAAAAATTAATCAATAATGGCTGACTGCAAATAACACTTTTACAATAGCATTTGTAACCAAACTTGCTTTGTGTGAAACCACTGTCAGTGTACAACTGTAACAAGATTCACACTGCGTTTTCAGCGTTAATAAAACTATCTTTCCATCCGTAGCTGTATCTATTCTAGCCTCAACTAATTTTTATCCACCTTATTTTGCCCGTGGGCACCATTTGTAAATTTTATGTGTGAGGCTTCTGGTGTCATTCGCTTCCAGCTTTTTTTAGCTGTACAAAAATGCACGTTTTGCTGCTTGATATTGCAAACACCATACTATTTTTTTTATGCATTGTCTTAATTATGAACACAACAGTTTTTACGACACTTGACTTTGTTATTCTTCTCGTTTTTTACAAACCGGAAGTCTTGCACATTTACAAAAAAACGGCTTACTAGCACGTAGAAAAATAAGGTGGATACTCTTAACTTAGCTGTTAAAGCTGTCAGCGTAAATAGAAACAGTTCACACATAAACAAATAAAAACATATAGGTCAAAAATACACTGAAATCTTTATTGCTATACACAATATCAGTGCCTGAAACAGTTACTTGTGAACTCATGGGCTTTTATGTGAGGCTAAGTGTCTAAACATTGTTCTAATGTAAAAATACAATGATTACTCCGCTATTAGCCTCTCATATTTGTGTAAATTAACAATACTTTACATAAATGTTTACTTTTACTGACTTAAATCTGTTTTAAAACAACACTTTACATATTCTACAAAAATGGCGACCATGCATTGTGTTTTACACAGAGTGGCATTTCAGGTAGACATTTTTATTTAAATATATTACTTTTTAAATAACCATTTTGTCTGAGACTTTAGATCAGTAAATACTACACCTTATCATGCCCCTTTGAAAATCTCAAATGCATACAAGGCTTTCTCCATATACAGATTACCATATTTCTGTTCACTTGGTTGACAAACACAAGTGGACACAATGGAAGATGTTGATGGAGAAGAAAACAAAGCTGTGTTCAATGAATAATCCTGTGATACAAATTCACCCCTAGACGACTCTGTGTTAGAATTACCCGATTGTGTATTCACAATTTACGGCTCTAGAGCACTTAACTTTATTACTGCATCCCTGATTCTTGCAAAACACAATCATATGCATTACAAACATTAAGGTGAAAACGTGTTAAAGTTGCATGACATACGTGTGTGCATGGTGTACCATCACATGAGGTGTTCTTGCATTAAAGCACAGTGAAAATAAAGCACAAGATCACTTCTATTCACTCAACAAGACTATAATGTTCCCTAAATCGACCACCAACAGTCATCATGAATACAGCTTCTCATTTTTACAGCGTTTAGACTGCAGGTACAGTACGTAACCTCACATAATGTACCCTGCATTCCTCAAGAAAAGGGATTTGAATGCCCTGAAAAGTGCTATTATGAAGCAAAACGCACTACTGACACCGATGCTTGGTTGGCAGCAAGCAAAAATTGAGGCCACGTAGTGCATTTTTCTGTAGTGCTGCTACAATTTCATAACAATAAAACTGTGATTTCAAGACTGATAGTGACAGACAAAGTCTCAACAAAAGAGGACATGTTAAAAAGTCAACATATGTACAGCTATTCCCTTCTGAAGAGTTTAAAACACCCTGCAATAACAATGATATAAACACAGGTGTGTTTGACTTCAGAATTTTTTGAGGTGCAGTCCATACTTAAAATTCCCAAAGCCAATAAGAAGTCACTACAGAAATAAAAACTTGATATGGCTTTCGGAATGGCCCATTACAAATTGGAAAAGTTTAGCTGCATGCTACAATGAGGGTGATGCACAAAATGGCACCTTTAATGGTGAACGTCTTTTTGTGTTTCATGGGGGGCTGGTTTTTCTTTTCGACCAAAATCCACAAAGCCTCTGGCAACCACTTTGTACAGGCCCAGGCTTCTGAGTTTTTCCACAAGATTGACGCTGAAAATGTTTCCCTGCCATGCTTTTTCTCTTTTTTCTTGTTCACTTCCATCAGAACCCCGCTGTGTTTCCTCAGAATATGCGGTGGCTCTGTGAATGAGAGGGGAGTTGGGATGAATTGCAGCCGAGATGCCGTGCTCTGATACAAGTTGTAGCAGACCTAGGGAGGAGGTCTGGTGGAGGTGTGATGTGGACCCAGAGATGAACTGGAGGCCTGATGATGTCCTCACGTGCTCACAGCTCCCACAAGCGGATGCACTGCGGGGCCGAAGGCTGAGGAGAGAACAAGGAAGATGCGTGTCAGATGGTACTCAGCCAAACCATGCCAGAAATAAACAGACCAGAACACAAGTGTTAGTGAAAGCTTTTTCGGTTAGAAACACACAGCATATAGTGTATGATCATGCTGATGAATAAAATAATGTAATGATGAGACTTCCACAAGCTGGTTAGCAGCATATAAAGAAAGGCTTCAATGTAACATGCACAGTCTAGTGTTAGTGAGTCATTCTCAAAATATGACATTTCAGTCAAGATTTCAAATATTCATGAAACCCTGCATAAGAAGGGCTTTTTCATTCTATAACGTTTTAATGATAATATAAAATTGTTTACGTTTACATTTTACAATACAGGTATACTTTACATACAGTATATGTTATATATACTATTTAATGTCTCTAGTGTTGTCAATAAACGAGTATTATGAATATATATACAGTATATAGATAGACTGGTATTCCAATCCATGTTTCAATCATATCAAATAAAATAGTCCAGATTTGTAATGTGAAGATATTAATGAGTACTTAACACCAACTTTTATGAGAATTCAACTCAATTCAACTCAATTCATTAAATTCCCACAATAAAACATAACTTTAGCAGAAAAGCGTTATTTTAAAACAGATGTGTAATGTATGAGACATGCAGCTTTCTCACCTAAACCTAAATCTGTACAGGAGAGAAGACAGAATTAGTCATATAATGTCCTGATGCTGTTATGCTACGATGTTTTGTTGGTTCATGAATGAAACCTAAGGTTAGAGAGAAAGAAAGTTAGTGGATAGAGTTAGCAATTTGACGGATCATCCTAGTAAAGGGTTCAAAGAGACCATGCCTGACATGTCTTACTTTATGGAGGATGATATTATAACTGTACAAAGAGCCAGTTCCAGCGCTTCCTGTTACAGATGGAAGGAGGGAAAATGAGCAAGTAAATACTAAATATTAAGATAAAGGTTAGTTGTGAACAGATAAAGACATTTCTGATATTCCTAATTTAATCCAAGTGCCTAATTTAAATAGTTTTTAAATGGAAAAATTAGGGCTGTCGATTGTCGAAAAATTCCCTTGTATTGGTTTTTGTCTTACATTTATATCCTATGATAGTTTAGCAATGTCACATGAACAAGAGTGCTGCTTGTTTTCCAAATATCTGCACAACTGCAAATGTGATATTGATTTTATACAACAGTTCAATGAACAAAAGTTAATATTTTGTTACATTTTAGACAAGTATTACCTGGTTTTGCACAATTTTGCCAACGAAAATAGTTCCATTAAGCCACAGCAGAATTGTCGTGCGATTCTGAGCAACACGCAGCAGTGTTTTGTTATTGAACGAATTAACGTTTTTGAATGAATGACTCACTCATTAAGACCAGTGTTGCCAACTTCTTTCAATGGAAAGTAGCTAAAGCCAGCTTGAAAAGGTCACTAGATGACGTCATACGCTAATTAGCATATTCACAATGTCATTGGGTCGTATTGCTTTTTTATTATTATTTAGCCTCTCTGGGCTCATACTGAGCCAAATTCTCAATAAAACTGTTTTCATTTATATATTTATACTATTTTCTGTTGTCAGACAATGGGATAATTATAAAATACTGACTCAAACGCAGCCAGTTAAGACTCTCCTTTCCAATATGTTAATCTGCACTAAAATCCTGATTTATAATTGAGGCGTCTTCTGATGAAATCAAATACACAGGTATATTTGCATGTAAAATTAGAGTTAGAAGCAAGAGAATATCTATTTTAACTGAAAGTGCTGCTCCTCTCAGCCGCTCACTGAACAGACCAGACGCAGATAGAGGTGTGTGCGCGCTCGGACAGTTTGTGCGGCAGTACCGACGAGTCTCAGAAACGAAATAAAGTTTGTCCAAGAAGTCGCTAGATTTGTCGCTAGGCACTTTTTTGGAAAAAAGTCGCTAAAAAAGTCGCTAAGACAGTGACTTGCTGCCACCTACTGGTGTTTTTAGTTAATAAATGTGCCATATGTAGAATTTTAAACCTACAAGTAAGTGTATTTTATAGTAGCTGTAACTGTAAGTGACTATCCTAATGGGCTAATCAAAATATAATGCAATTAATCTGTGCTTTTGTTTTTATTTATTTTCATTTTTAGTTTACCGAGTTTAACTTCTGCTTTAAACCGCATTATTTCTGTTTTTAGATTGTAATGTTACAATGTTAGAATGTAATGTGATTTTAGCCCATTTTTCCACATAATACATAGCATAGCCTTGTCAAGTCACCTTAGTTTATATAGTGCTTTTAACAATACAGATTGTCAAAGCAGCTTTACAGTATTAAATAGGAAAATAGTGAGTCAATAATGCAGAAGGACAATAGTAAACACTCAATTTTCAGTTAAAGGCAGTTCATCATTGAATTCAGTGATGTCATCATCCAGCTCAGTTCAGTTTAAATAGTTCCTAGTAAAGGGTTCAAAGAGACCATGCCTGACATGTCTTACTTTATGGAGGATGATATTATAACTGTACAAAGAGCCAGTTCCAGCGCTTCCTGTTACAGATGGAAGGAGGGAAAATGAGCAAGTAAATACTAAATATTAAGATAAAGGTTAGTTGTGAACAGATAAAGACATTTCTGATATTCCTAATTTAATCCAAGTGCCTAATTTAAATAGTTTTTAAATGGAAAAATTAGGGCTGTCGATTGTCGAAAAATTCCCCTGTATTGGTTTTTGTCTTACATTTATATCCTATGATAGTTTAGCAATGTCACATGAACAAAAGTGCTGCTTGTTTTCCAAATATCTGCACAACTGCAAATGTGATATTGATTTTATACAACAGTTCAATAAACAAAAGTTAATATTTTGTTACATTTTAGACAAGTATTACCTGGTTTTGCACAATTTTGCCAACGAAAATAGTTCCATTAAGCCACAGCAGAATTGTCGTGCGATTCTGAGCAACACGCAGCAGTGTTTTGTTATTGAACGAATTAACGTTTTTGAATGAATGACTCACTCATTAAGACCAGTGTTGCCAACTTCTTTCAATGGAAAGTAGCTAAAGCCAGCTTGAAAAGGTCACTAGATGACGTCATACGCTAATTAGCATATTCACAATGTCATTGGGTCGTATTGCTTTTTTATTATTATTTAGCCTCTCTGGGCTCATACTGAGCCAAATTCTCAATAAAACTGTTTTCATTTATATATTTATACTATTTTCTGTTGTCAGACAATGGGATAATTATAAAATACTGACTCAAACGCAGCCAGTTAAGACTCTCCTTTCCAATATGTTAATCTGCACTAAAATCCTGATTTATAATTGAGGCGTCTTCTGATGAAATCAAATACACAGGTATATTTGCATGTAAAATTAGAGTTAGAAGCAAGAGAATATCTATTTTAACTGAAAGTGCTGCTCCTCTCAGCCGCTCACTGAACAGACCAGACGCAGATAGAGGTGTGTGCGCGCTCGGACAGTTTGTGCGGCAGTACCGACGAGTCTCAGAAACTAAATAAAGTTTGTCCAAGAAGTCGCTAGATTTGTCGCTAGGCACTTTTTTGGAAAAAAGTCGCTAAAAAAGTCGCTAAGACAGTGACTTGCTGCCACCTACTGGTGTTTTTAGTTAATAAATGTGCCATATGTAGAATTTTAAACCTACAAGTAAGTGTATTTTATAGTAGCTGTAACTGTAAGTGACTATCCTAATGGGCTAATCAAAATATAATGCAATTAATCTGTGCTTTTGTTTTTATTTATTTTCATTTTTAGTTTACCGAGTTTAACTTCTGCTTTAAACCGCATTATTTCTGTTTTTAGATTGTAATGTTACAATGTTAGAATGTAATGTGATTTTAGCCCATTTTTCCACATAATACATAGCATAGCCTTGTCAAGTCACCTTAGTTTATATAGTGCTTTTAACAATACAGATTGTCAAAGCAGCTTTACAGTATTAAATAGGAAAATAGTGAGTCAATAATGCAGAAGGACAATAGTAAACACTCAATTTTCAGTTAAAGGCAGTTCATCATTGAATTCAGTGATGTCATCATCCAGCTCAGTTCAGTTTAAATAGTGTCTGTGCAATCAAGTCGACGATATCGCTGGAAAATACATAGTTACATTAACTATATTTGTTTTCATAGCTTTTAATATAAACATTGTTTCACTGGACAACATTCGGCAGGATGTGATTTTATAAAAATAAATATATGCATTTTTAATCCAAATAGAAAAATGTAGAACATACCAAGATATATACTGTTGGTCACAATTTGGCCAAAAAATACAGAGATATGATTTTTTTGGCCTTATCGCCTAGCCCTAGTAAGAATTGTCTTGTTTTATGCATGTGCCCGATAAAAGAAAAAAAACTAGATTATTCTGATGGATGATTGACAGTCTTATAATAAGCACTGTGTGGGCACCAGCGTGATCATGTCTTACCTGGTGGAGAAGGAGGAGAGGAGGACGGAGGGATGGAGGATCTGACAGCTAGTGGTCGGAGATGTGGGTGAGGGAAGTCGACGATATCGCTGGAAAATACATAGTTACATTAACTATATTTGTTTTCATAGCTTTTAATATAAACATTGTTTCACTGGACAACATTCGGCAGGATGTAATTTTATAAAAATAAATATATGCATTTTTAATCCAAATAGAAAAATGTAGAACATACCAAGATATATACTGTTGGTCACAATTTGGCCAAAAAATACAGAGATATGATTTTTTTGGCCTTATCGCCTAGCCCTAGTAAGAATTGTCTTGTTTTATGCATGTGCCCGATAAAAGAAAAAAAACTAGATTATTCTGATGGATGATTGACAGTCTTATAATAAGCACTGTGTGGGCACCAGCGTGATCATGTCTTACCTGGTGGAGAAGGAGGAGAGGAGGACGGAGGGATGGAGGATCTGACAGCTAGTGGTCGGAGATGTGGGTGAGGTCTGAGGGATGTTAAGTCCGGATGAAGGGACTGCATTCATGTGAGGAAACACAAACACATGCTAAAATTCAGCTATGCATGACAGGTACCTACAGCACTACACTGAAGGCAGGGTGGATTAAAACCATGATAGTACCTAGGAAGCAGAGCTGGGTAGTAACATGTAACAGATTACATTACATGTAATCTGGATTACATAATCAGATTCCAAAAATCAAGTACTCGTAATTAGAGTATATTACTTTTTCAAATCCTCATAATCAGATTAAAGTTACTTTTTATGGATAGCATTAATTTTATGGGCTTACATCAAGCCCAGTTTGAGAAACCCTGGTTTAATGTAATGTTTAATACATTTTATGAGGATGACATAAAAAAAATGGAATGTATTTTCTTTCTCTTTGCTTTTTTATATCAATATGGTACATTTAATAGTAAGTTTAAAACAAGCCAGATAAAAAAAGGAATCTAAATCACATTACCTAAAATGAGTAACTAACTACATTTTGCTAACTACATTTTCATCATGTAATCTGTAATCAGTAACTGACTACAGTTTGGAAGTAATCTACAACAGTATGTTAAAGAATATATATGTGTGTGTGTATATAGTGAAAGTGACGTGACGTGTGGCCAAGTATGGTGACCCATACTCGGAATTAGTGCTCTGCATTTAACCCATCCAAAGTGCACACACACACACACACACACACACTGTGAACACACACCCGGAGCAGTGGGCAGCCATTTTTGCTGCGGCGCCCGGGGAGCAGTTGGGGGTTCGGTGCCTTGCTCAAGGGCACCTCAGTCGTGGTATTGAAGGTGGGAGAGAGCGCTGTACATTCCCTCCCTCCACCTACAATCCCTGCCGGTACGAGACTCGAACCCGCAACCTTTGGGTTACGAGTCCGACTCTTTAATAATTAGGCCATGACTTCCCCATATATATATATATATATATCTTTTTTTCTTAACTATTCTTATTAATATTTTTAGATGAAAATGTACATTTTATTAGAATGATTTTAGAAAAATTATTTAATAATATAAGTGTTAAATATGATACATCAGGCTTTTGATGAACATTTATTTGTTCATCTCTCATCTCATAATTGTATTGAATTGAATGATGTTTCACCCCCACAATAAAAACGACAGAGCTTTGTATCATAAATATCATAAAACTAAGAATATAAATATCAGACATATTATTGTATTGTATTATTGTATTGTATATTATTGATATTATTATATCATGACAACTGATATTTATATGGATTTTGTATACGCAGTGCTATATTGTTATAAAGATCTCATGTATTTAAAATACAAGCTATCAGAATTTAATTTCACTTTTTGACTGCACCAAATTGCATATTTTTGTTCAGTTTGGGCCAATGAATAAAACTGAGATGTTTTTCCTCCTCGAGTCTGAGCTCCTATATATCTTACTATATGAGTCATAAAAGCCTGATGTATCAAATATGATACTTAACAAAAACACATACTCAAACCTTCTTTTTTGATTTTTCTAAAGGTTCAATAAACTGTTCCATCTTTAAAATAGTTTTTTCTGACCATTATTTCATATATCTGGTTTTACAGGGAAAATATTAAAAAAAAACACCAAAAATTCAGAAACATGATAGGAAAATACGTGATAACATGATAGGAAGAAACATAAACCAGGAAATGATATAATAGAGAGGATCCTTGCATGACTTTGCAAACGTAAATTAAATATCCCTTATTTAATCTTTATATGACATGGCAATTTAGGTTGTATAATTGTGCAACTCTCCTAAAATGTAATTTTAATTTTATTATTTATTCATTATTTTATTTTTACATTTGTATTTTGTGGTTTGAACTAGTGGTCAACCGATATATTTTATTTTTTTTTTTGACAGCCGATGCCGTTATTTATAAAATGGCAAATATCGGCCGATATATCGGTCAACCACTAATTTGAACAGCCCTAATTTTAGAGTTGATCTAAACGTCCCTCTTTCATGACTTGTATTAAGTTATACGTGTGTGTGTATCTACTGACCCTCCAGCGGCTTGACTATCTGCAGCCGTTCAGGCAGATACGAGCGGGAGGAGCCCGTGCCTGAGGAATGCGTGGAGGTGCCGGAGTAGTTGGTTCCTGTGGATGCGACGCTGCCGTTGGGCGTCAGGAAGCCGCTGGAGCCGCCGCCACTGCCGTTGCTTCCACTCTGCAGGGCACGCAGTTTCCTTTCTCTCTCCACCTCGAAGAACGGCCGCTCGGACGTGTGCCTCTCCTGACGCTCTGAGAGAGACTGGAGCGCTTCCTCCAAATCCTGCCCACCTGGCGTACCTGGCTGGCCCAAACGCTTCGACTCCAGTAACCTATGCAGGAAATATGTTATTATTCATTGTTAATCGATTCATTCTTAATAGTCAGTCATTATTGTGAGAAGTTGAAAATAAACAAACACTGACCCATGATCCTGTGTGTGCGTGGGAGGGGAGTGCTTATCCGACATGTTGACACTAATATTGTCTGATTCGTAATAACTGGTCCGTGGTGTACTGATTCGACTAGAGCGTAATGATGTAGGGCTCGAACCCGGAACCTGTGGAGAGTGAATCTGGGAACGTAGCCGAGCCGCCTGATTGGCCACTTTCACGGTCTCAAACACCCGCAACGGATGATTCCTGCACAGAGAGTTCAAGACAAACATGTCATGTTGCATTTACATTTATACATTCACATTTATATACAAAGCATGTTAATTAGGCTTTGAATAGACTGCAAAAAAAAAAAGGAAATCACTATTTTTGTTATGTTTCCCAGTAAAATATCTAAACGTTAAAACAAAATATGTATAAGCTACTTGAAATTCAAAATTATGTATAATAATAATTTATTTAAGAATGGATGATTTTTCTATAAAATACTATAATATAAAGAAATTCTAAATATATTTCTGTCCAAAAGTTTTTCTGATGTTTTTGATAGAAGTTTCTTATGCTCACCAAGGCTGCATTTATTTGATAAAACATACAGTAAAACAATAATATTGTAAAATATCATTACAAATTAAAATACCTTTTCTATTTTAGTATATTTTTAAATGTACTTTTTATTTTTGTGATGGCAAAGCCGCATCCCTACAGAAATCATCCTTGTATGCTGATTTGCTGCTCAAGAAATTTCTTATTATTATCAATATTCAAAACTGTGGTGCTGTTTAATTTTTTTATTAGAAATTGTGATTTTTTTTTTAATAATTATCATTATAATGATAAATATAATTATCATTATAAATTTCACTATAATTATCTTTACTGTTATTTTTGATCAACTTAATGTGTCCTTGCCGAATAAAATGTTTCATTTCTTTAAAGACAAAAAAAACTAACTGATCTCAAACTTTTGAACAGTTCTATTATAGAACTTCTATATATCCTTTTGAAAATCTTACACACTTAATATATTTAAAATGTGTTGTAAAGATCTTTTTTACAGATCTTTCGATCTCAGTTTTACAGATCTTTAGATATTTTTGAATGTAAAACAAAACAAAAACTTTTTTTTTGCAGTATATGAACAGCTGTTAAATGTACTAACTTGTATTCAGTGGGTGCTGGGCTGTCTAGGCCTTTCCGGAAGGTTCCTTCAATCTCAGCAGCGAGTGAATCCATTGGGAGGACTGCTACCAGGGTGCTGTAACGCTGCACAGTGCTGTTGGGCAGACTCTTATTGCGCAGGTTCTTAATGTCCTCTCTGGCCTCATGGAGCATGTCTTCACATTCTGAGTACCTCTCCTGCAGTTCCTTCAGCTGCCACCAGAGGGAGAACATCATCAATTGGCCCTCCAAGCACAAAGCCATTTACTGAAAGGGAGGCACACTGTGTGATATTGTGAGGATTGTACCTCTGTTTTAAGCTGTGACTGGGATTCCCGGGAAGCATTCAGATGTTGCCTTAACTCCTCATTCTCAGCAGTGAACTGAATTTGGAAGCAAATTTGATGTATTTGTTTATAAAGGTATTCTCTAAACGCTGTGAAACAAGAGTAAGCATGTGTGCGTTTGTGTGTCTAACCCCTTTGCAGCGCTGCTCCAGGTCGACAATCTGTCCCAGGAGGGCACTAATCTCCTCTTGTTGTCTTAGCGAGTCTTCCACCTTCCGGCCTAATTCTTCTGACAGAGATACAACCTGTTTATTTACTGTAGCTGGTGAGAGAAAAAAGCAGAGGATACTTTAGTCTGCTATCACGAAAACTTATTTGAGATACTTAAAGAAGGGCATCATGGGTGATTTACTCACAGAGTTCGTCCACACACACCATCATAAGCCGTTGCTCTTGTTCCTCATAATTGTTCGTCTCAAATGTTAACTCGTTAGCCTAAAAAAAGAGTGATGGGTGTGAAAACATGAAACTAGCTGTAGCACAGCATTTAGATTTTTTTTTGTGAATGCATGCATGCATTTAAACACACCTCTGTGCGCAGTTTGAAGTTCTCGTCTTCTAAACCCTTGAGTTTCTGTTGCAGGAAGTCGTAATTGACGTAGTTGCTGAGAGATGAGGACGAATCACTCTGTATAAGTCTGAAGGAGGATGAAACACTTATCAGTACAGCAGAATTAAGTAGTTGATCACTGTGTGTGCGTGCGTGTGTGTGTGTGTGTGTGTGTGTGTAACTCACAGCGTTTCTGAGGCATGCTCTATATCTTCAGTGCTGGCATAGAAATGCAGGAGATCATCTCTCATGGAGAGCTCATGACGCAGCTGGGCAATCTGTAAGAACAGACCCAGAGTCAGCGTTAGCATCCATATAACACAAGACTCTGAGCGCATCAACATCTATTATAACATTAAGAAGGACACTGTTAGTAAACTCTATATACAGTAAATGCATAATATTTTTCAACATTTTCATTCAAATGCAAGACAGACAGACAGACAGACAGACAGATAGATAGATAGATAGATAGATAGATAGATAGATAGATAGATAGATAGATAGATAGATAGATAGATAGATAGATAGATAAAATGAAGGACAGACAGACACAAACAGACAGACAGACAGACAGACAGACAGGTAGATAGATAGGATAAAATTACAGACACAAACAGACAGACAGACAGACAGACAGACAGATAGATAGATAGATAGATAGATAGATAGATAGATAGATAGATAGATTGAATGAAGGACAGACAGACACAAACAGACAGACAGACAGACAGATAGATAGATAGATAGATAAAATGAAGGACAGACAGACAAAAACAGACAGACAGACAGGTAGATAGATAGACAGGTAGATAGATAGATAGATAGATAGATAGATAGATAGATAGATAGATAGATAGATAGATAGATAGATAGATAGATAGATAGATAGATAGAATGAAGGACAGACAGACAGACAGATAGATAGATA